AATAGTCGACAGTGCAAGTTTAGCATCTTGGGGGTGGGGGTTCAGACAAGTGTTCCAGGGGAATTAAATACAGTGCAACTGAATAGATGAGGAAGTTCTCTGCACAGAAACACTTGGTTACATTATTATTTCAGCCAGATTTTTGGTGTCCTTTGGCCTTTGCAAGCTAACGTGAAGTACAACAGGATGATCTAGTATTCACAGCCCCACAAAGTATGATCTACTGCATAACAAAAGTCTGCTTTTAAGACTTTTTCAATTTTGATCCATCAACAATTTTTCACACCACCACCCACCTGAATCAAAACTCCTCCACACTGTCTGCTGCAGAGAGGGAGAGATTCTGGTACTGCCAAGGGGCCTGAAATTAACTGTTTCAGCCACTAGCCAACAGTGCAACACAAAGAAAATTCACTGACCCAAAAGCAACAATACTGTAGGAGGGATTTGGGACCAGTGATTGGTAAATTAAGTAACCAGCTGGACTACCAAGATGAAAAAAGTCATTTGCCTTAAACAAAACATTTCCATTTCTGCTGCAGACAATGGCAACTGTAATCCCAGTCTAAAACTAAATCAAGCCAGATTCATTCAGCAACCTCTCTCTATTTAATAGCACATTTTGAAATTAGACATTAACATACAATTCCTTTGCAGTCTAGCTTGGCTGTGCTATTCCCAATGCTTTTCCAAACCATGATCCTGAGGGAAGACTCCTTTCTGTCTGATTTTTGCACGTTTCGGAGAGTCAGAGTGTCCTCTCTGCTGTTCTGGTTTCAAAGCAGACAAATGTTTTGCTGACAGAGCTGCTCATCCCTTACCGTCACTGCCCACGCACCTGATGGAGGTTTATTTTACAGCATACAGATCAATGCGACATTGTCCTTCAATTTACAGAGCTCTCCTACACTCCAGTGACTGAGCTGCCTGCTTTAATGATCATGACGCAACATGACATGCAAAGGTTTGGATGGCAGTAAACTGTACAGAAAGCTGCCTTGCACAATTTGATGAGCAAGCAGGACTGGTATAAATCTTAGGCAGCAGGAGCCCAACTCACTTGGGAAGTGAAAGACTCGCCAAAAAGGGAAAGAAAAGCAGCTACTACACAAGAGGTTTAGGAACATGCAGACCTTCCACTGTTCTGGCTGACTGAAAAGCAGGTGGGAAACCCTGCTCTGGAGTGCCCCCCCTTGCTGCTTGAGTGGCAGAAGCAGGGTGTGTGGTCAGATGCCTGTAGCCTGAGAGGAAGGGAGGGTTTAATCCCCACTCCCTCCCATCTCCCACTGGCACAGAACCCCAGCCGGGCCTGCCTGGCTTTCCTCCCTACTCACCACTCAAGTAGCAGTCGGTGCCAGTCAGGAGCTGGGCTCTGGCCACACTCCTCACCTCCCTCCTCCCCAAAAGCCTGGCAAGGGCTGCTTCCCCCCGCCCCTTCCAGGGTCAGGGTATAAACCTCTCCTCAATCATACTCAGCAGCCTGATGGGGCCTTAGTCTAACCTGCAAAGATTGAATCTTTGCATGGGCCAACAGTGTGGGAAAGTGGTCAGGAAGGCCAACTGTACCTTGTCATGCATCCACAGATGCATCTCGAGCAGGTCCAAGGAGGTGATACTCCCCCTCTATGTGACACTGGTCAGGCCGCAGTTGGACTACCGAGTCCAGTACTGAGTGCTGCACTTCAGGAGGGATGTGGACAACATGAAGAGGGTCCAGAGGAGGACCACCCGCATAATCGGGGCAGCAGGGCAGGCCCTACAAGGCAAGATTAAGGCACCTGAACCTGTTCAGCCTCCACAAGAGAAGGCTGAGGAGGGATCTAGTGGCCATTTACAAGCTAGTCAGGGGGGACCAGCAGGCACTGGGGAAGTCCCTGTTCCCCCGAGCACTATTAGGAGTGACCAGGAATAACAGTCACAAGCTGGCAGAGGGTAGATTTAAACTAGACATCAGGAGGTGCTACTTCACTGTCAGGGCTGCTAGAATTTGGAACCAACTTCCAAGAGAAGTGGTGCTGGCTCCTACCGTGGGGGTCTTTAAGAGGAGGCTAGATGTACACCTTGCTGGGGTCGTTTGACCCCAGTACACTTTCCTGCCATGTCCGACCCCCTGCCTTGATGATCTGGCTCAAGTCCCTTCTGACCCTACCAACTATGAATCTATGAATCCATTCAGGATCAGGCTTTTTGAATGTCTGTACTTAGCTGTTAAGTGCAGGAAGGAGTCAGGTGATTCTACATCACCAACAACTATTTAGCAAGTTACTTCCTCAAGCCACATCTCAGGGTGCCCCACTTCTAAAGTGGGGATGGGTAATATTTGCCTGCTTCACAGGTATGCACTTAATTTGTTAGTATCTATATCCATTCCAGCAGCCCTGTATGACAGATCAGCACATCAGGTTCAAAAGAATACTGTTTTTCAATGGGGAAAAAAACCCCATTGGAAACACCCTTTACCTAGAAGGCTTTGACAAAACTGGTCGAAACAGGCTCCAGCAAAATCTGTAAGTACAGTTTTCCCTTGCCAACCACAGGGATTAGGTTCCTGAAAGTTCCCGTGGTTGGCAGAACCAGCAGGGCTGGAGGAAAAAGGGGCTGTGGCAGGTATTTTCCAACTGTAACACCCCCTTCCCTGAAGCGTGGATACTCAAAACCATGGTTGGAAAGGGAAACCTGTAAACTGGAATTTCTCTGGTGGCACAGACAGCTGGTGCTTACTAAGTAAAGCTAATGAATATGAAACACTACAAAACTGAGCCACATGATCTCCTTAAGGAGTCCATGATTCACTCTGTGAAAGGGACCGATTCCATACCAGTAGGAATATACCACTATTTTTTCTTCCATATTTTCTTAGCAATGGGAAATTCGGAGGCAACTTTTTGGCAAAACCTGAACATAGCCTACAAAACTAGATTAGGAAGAATATACACTCCAATTCGCAAGGGAACATCAGAATTATTTTATCCAGGTCCTAGACTTGCTCATTTTCTTACTTATGTTGTGTAATGACCTGGCTAAAAGAGAACATGCACATTGCAGCAAGACAGCATCTTCCAAAGAGAGATCTCATATGCATTACAAAAGAAATATGTTAGTCTCACAGTACCCTTGTGATGTAGATGAGTACCAAGATCAGCAATCAACTAGCTATGAATCCAAGCTAGCCTGAACAGGCAACTGCACCATCTTAGATTAACTTCCACATAATCGTGCACTAATTTAGGAAGCTCAGCTAGCCAAGAGCACCAGTATAGTATTCACCAAACTTGAAAGCACACAGCACATCCAGCAATATCATGCAAGGCTACTTAAACAACAAGCACATCAGGCCTGAAGCATGACATGGAATTATGACTATGTGCAGAGAAACAGACTGCTAAACGAGCCAAATGAAATGAATGCAATAAGCCAGACAAGACTATTACACAAACTCATGTGATAATGAACCCTTAAAATACTTTAAACAAAGTCCTACTCTGCTGAATACAACAGGGCTTGCTCCTTGTTCAGGTTACTAGGCACAGACTCTTGCAAAACAGATGGCCTTCAACAGCTCTCTCTCTCTCCTGGACCAATCATTTATTCCCTACTTTGAACCTGGTCTTTCCCCAGCAGTTCACTTCCAGCACGTACCTGTCCAGCTCTGAGTCTGACCCCTCCTCTGACACTGCACAGGCTGCTGCAAGTGGTTTCCTATCAGGTTTCGATTCAGCTTCTGTCACAGCAGATGGACTGTCCTTCCTGCTGTGGGACATGAGAAAGGTCAGAGGTACAAGGTGAGTAACAAAGGTCTCAGTACCCCCTGACCATAAACAGGAGACTGAATTTTCCAAAGTAAAAAGTCCCCCCCACCAAACACACCTCCTGCTCCCACTACCTAGGAGAGACAAGAGACTCATTTCAGCCTCGGTTCACTTAGGAAGATGCTGGTAAGAAAGGTCCATGGAAGAAGAGCAGTCTTGAAAGCTACACATGCACTTTCACCAGATCCCACCTAAACGGTCTTTAGTTCCTTAAAAAGTTCAAGATTAGAGCAGGAGACTGAATCCAAAATAAATGCGTCTTAAAAGGCAGACACACGGTCATCTCAGGGCATGCAAAGCACCTCCAGCACCCTGACTCTCTGAAATACATACGCCTTGCTCCAACAACAGTTTGCAGTGCAATATTGAGCAGTAATTTTACCTCAGTTTCTACCTATAAAATGGAAAAAAATAATACTTCCTTACTTAGAGTGCTGGAGGCTTCACTTTCTAATGTCTTCAGGCAGATGCCATGGAAGGTCAAAGTACTTTACTTACACTTTTTAGGCACAAATTCACACTTGATTTCAACTGAAAATGGATGGGTTGGGGACAGTGTTACCAGACCACCTGGAGGTAACAAAAGATCCTGCAGACACGCTTAGTAGATCTGTATCAATGGTGCTCAAGCTCTCCAGCCCCATGGGCTAGATGACTGGTGCAGTGCCATTCCTCAGGCTGGATCCCAATCACAGGGTCAGTCCAAAGATGTGATCCAGCATGTCACCACAACCCCAAGTGCTGGATCCTGCCAGACTGACTGCGTGCGAGCATGATCTGCCATGCAGAGTCATGTCATCCACACTGCGGAGTTCCCCACGGGTTCAGAAATTTGGTGGCAAGGAAGCAGTGGCAACATTAACTGCTGTGGCTCTAGGAGTAATTGATGTTGCTACCGCTCCTTCTGCCAAATTTCCAGACTTGTGGGATGGAGGTTGAGCACCACTGATCTGTATGATTTAAGCTAGGGGGACCCAGAATTATTAGAACCCAGTTAGGGTAAGAAGCCCTAGTACATGCTGTCTAACTGAACTAGAGATACGATGGCTGCAGAGAGAGAACCAGCTGCAACACATAGCATTGCAAAATAT